CAAATAACTAAATAGTATTTCACGCTACTGAACAAGTTAATTTGATTGGATGAAATCGTGATTTCCTCTCTTCAATGCACTTTTTAGCACGAGAAAGTGTAGATCTAGCTCCCTCGCGAGTGATGTGTAACTTACTAAGCGATCGAGGCATTACACCGGCACAGTATCGATTCAACGAAAATCCCATTGAGAAGAATGTACAATTAAAGTAGTGCGAAGAAAATATAGAGATGTATTTTTATGAAAAGCAGTAAGACGATTCAAATTCCTCTGAAAGAACGTTCAAGTGGATTGCAAACTTTGCGTATGAGAACTAAAAAAAGACTTCAGAAAAAACAATAAATGTAAGCAAACACTTCTAAAATAGATAGACTACATCAAAAGTCTCAAAATCGGTTTTCCATAATGTATGAGTGGAAGTTGGCCTGTGAAGTCAAGAACTAATTCTTGATAGAAAAAATGCCAAAATGACCATAAGATGCTGCGAATAGAACAGAGGAGCTTGAGCTCAGACCCCTATCGCCTTGACATGGCGAGGTAGTTTAATGTGAACGAAAAAGATGACATGTTGATGAGTTTACTGACATAGAAGAGGTTCATTTCGAGCCGAACATGAAATGAGCGGAATTTGAGAAAGACAAATCAGAAGAGCTAAACTCACTACTTGATCCTTGCCTACGAAAAGGCGGCCGCGGTGATGGGATGGTGTTTCCATTTTGTTTTGATGCCATCGGGAATGATCCCGATGATGTTGGTGACGTGTATTAGAATAGTTCTCGTTGTGGTAGATTATGATACGGACGAGTCTACGAGGAGGAACGTTGAGGACGGAGGCTATGTGCCGTCCGTCGATCGCTACGCCCCTGGGCGTTCGGTCGCTGCAAGAAACAAGCAGCAAATCAATGCTGGATAACATTGCTTAATCTGACGGATTGATGAGCGGCGATAACGGAAACGTGGGTTTGAGATTTATATGCAGTTACTAAATGTTTTTGTGCTGAGCAAAGAAAAGCCGTCGAAGATGGCTTGAAAATGACGGCTCTTCACTTCGAGTGAGTGCGAACTTTTACCTCTACAAACAACAAAAGCAGAACTGGATTGTGGAAAGGAAACTGAAGAACTCGTCGGAGTACTGGCACACAAATCTCATGTGATTTTGATGGACTTACTCGAATGACTTATGGCTGGAGAGTGTTCGCTTGTTTCCAAACCTATCGCAACTGTCCACAATTAGCGGATGACTACCCTACTGTTCCAAGACTGTCAATGCTCCATTAAAGCTGTAAGAGATATTTTCTAAAAATGAAGTGAGGGACTTGGTCCCAAATAAA